TTAATGTTTTAAATCTTTATTAAATCCTCCAATGGATCAGGTGCTTTGGGTCTGTTCTGACCCTTAGCACCCTTATCCATTAAAGACACATCCTGCTTTTGTCACTGTAGTCACTGCACCCTCTCTAAAGCTGACCATGCACGGGTTGAATTCTGAAAAAATTTTCTTTAGAGAATCTATTCTAAGAATTTTCATTCAAATTTCGCACCATTAGTGGGCCACAGAAACAGCCGATGTTTCTGTGACCATCAAATTTGATTGATTGGGCATGTTGGAAATTTTTTGAAAAACAAATGAATTTCTCATCAATGATGGGAGAATCATGGAAGAAATATAATTGAATAAGAAATGAGCATAAGCTGTGATCTCAGAGTGAGTGTGAAAGAGGACCTAGTTGATGGAGAGTGTGATGAGGCTGAAGTATTATGGGTGGAACTGCACATGGGGGTGCGTACTACAAAGGTAATCATTGGAGTTTGTTACAGGTCTTCCAGTGTTATTAAGGAGGTGGAGACTCAGCTACTCGCACAGATCAAAAGGGCTGCAAGGACTTGGGCAGTGATAATAATGGGGGATTTTAGCTACCCGGAAATTGACTGAAGTAATGGTACTGCAGGAACACTTAAAAGGCAAATATGTATAAACCTTCTACAGGACAATTTTATGGTACACTTCATAGAGGCCCCAACTAGGAATGTTGCTCTGCTGGACCTGGTAATCTCAAACCATGCAGAGCTTATTACGAATGTCTATATAAAAGAACATCTGGGTAACAGTGACCATAACATGATTCTTTTGTTAGCTGAAAACAGCAAGCACATATAGGAAAAATAAAAATGCTCAACTTTAAGAGAGCTAATTTTCTAAGGCTGAGACTGGCATGGAATATTAGCATAGATGAACACAACACAGAAATGGGAGTTCTTCAAAAAGTCTGTATGTGAACACTCTGCAAAATATATTCCCATGGGCAACAAGTTTAAAAGGCTAAAAATCAGACCCACTGTATGTGGCTTACGGGCAAAGTTAAAAAAGCTATAGATAATAAGAAAAGAGCTTTTCTTAAATATAAAAATGAAGGAACGCTATTATCATTTAAACATTACAAAGAATATAACAGAATATGCAAAAAGACAATCAAGGTCACAAAAATTGAAAACGAATAATAGATTGCAAAAGATAGCAGGACAAACCCCCAAAAATTCTTCAATTCTATTAATAGTAAAAAGGTCCAGTCCAAGCATGTAGGCCCTTTACAAAATAATCTAGAGTGGGTGACTGGGGACCAAAGAGAAGGCAAATTTATTATTACCTTCTTCAGCTCGCTCTGTGTATACAAAGGAGCATGGGGGAGCTCTTGTCCATAATGGGTATAGTACTGACACAGCTCCAGATGATCCACATTGGCTCACAATTGATATGATCTAGAAATATTTAGACAGAATAAAGGTGAATAAAGCACCTGGACCGGATAGCATACACCCACGGGTCCTTACAGAATTGAGCTCCGTCATTTCAAAGCCATTTTTTAGGGACTCTTTAATGACTCGCATAGTACTGCTAGATGTGGTGCCTATATTTAAAAAGAGGTCAAAATCTTTACCAAGTAATTATAGACCTGTTAGTTTAACTTCTATAGTTGGGAAGATACTGGACAGTTTAATAAAAGACCACATAGATGAGTTCTTGATGGAAAAAAAAATATTTTAAGCAACAGACAGCATGGATTCATGAAAGACAGAAGTTGTCAAACAAATCTGATTTCTTTTTATGAGGAGGTGAGCAAACCTTGGACAGAGGGGTGGCGGTGGACGTGGTATACTTGGACAGAGGGGTGGCTGTGGATGTGGTATACTTGGACAGAGGGGTGGCTGTGGACGTGGTATACTTGGACAGAGGGGTGGTAGTGCACATGGTATACTTGGACAGAGGGGTGGCTGTGGATGTAGTATACTTGGACAGACGGGTGGCGGTGGACATGGTATACTTTTACAGAGGAGTGGCGGTGGACGTGGTATACTTGGACAGAGGGGTGGCGGTGGACATGGTATACTTGGACAGAGGAGTGGCGGTGGACGTGGTATACTTGGACAGAGGGGTGGACGTGGATGTGGTATACTTGGACAGAGGGGTGGCTGTGGACGTGGTATACTTGGACAGAGGGGTGGTAGTGCACATGGTATACTTGGACAGAGGGGTGGCTGTGGATGTAGTATACTTGGACAGACGGGTGGCGGTGGACATGGTATACTTTTACAGAGGGAGTGGCGGTGGACGTGGTATACTTGGACAGAGGGGTGGCGGTGGACATGGTATACTTGGACAGAGGAGTGGCGGTGGACGTGGTATACTTGGACAGAGGGGTGGCGGTGGACGTGGTATACTTGGATAGAGGGTTGGCGGTGGACGTGGTATACTTGGATAGAGGGGTGGCGGTGGATATAATATACTTGGATTTTGCAAAAGCGTCTGACACAGTTCCCCACACACAGCTAATGTGTAAGGTAAAGTCTACAGGCTTGGAACAATCTGTATGTAAATGGGTAGAAAACTGGCTAAAAGATCATATTCAGAGAGTAGTGGTTAATGATTCATACTCTGAATGGTCTGGGGTCATCAGTGGTGTACTCCAGGGTTCAGTGTTGGGACCCTTACTTTTTAATATATTTATAAGCAATATAGGGTCTGGGATTATAAATCCCATTTCAGTCTTTGCAGATGACACCAAGCTGTGCCGTGGAATAACGTCCTTACAGGATGTCTCCAACTAACAAGCCTACCTCAATGCTCTGTGTAATTGGGCAACTATGTGGCAAATGAGGTTTAATGTTGATAAATGTAAGGTTCTGCACTTGGGGGCTAAGAATATGCATGCATCATACATACTAGGGGGGGTACAACTGGGGGAGTCAATGGTGGAGAAGGATCTGGGGGTTCTGGTAGATCACAAGATTAATAATGGCATGCAATGCCAAGCTGCGGCTTCTAAAGCGAGCAAAATTCTCTCTTGTATTAAAAGAGTTATAGACTCCAGAAAGAGATATCATTTCCCCCGATACAAATCATTAGTAACACCTCATCTGGAATATGCAGTTCAGTTTTGGGCACCAATTCACATAAAGAACATTGGGGAACTGGAGAAAGTACAGAAAAGGGCAACCAAACTGATAAGAGGCATGGAGGAGATCAGCTATGAGGAAAGATTAGAGGAACTGAATTTATTCTCTCTTGAGAAGAGGAGATTAAGGGGGATATGATCTCCATGTATAATACATAAGGGGGATATGATCACCATGTATAATACATAAGGGGGGATATGATCTCCATGTATAATACATAAGGGGGGGGGATATGATCACCATGTATAATACATAAGGGGGGATATGATCACCATGTATAATACATAAGGGGGGATATGATCTCCATGTATAATACATAAGGGGGATATGATCTCCATGTATAATACATAAGGGGGATATGATCTCCATGTATAATACATAAGGGGGGATATGATCTCCATGTATAATACATAAGGGGGGATATGATCACCATGTATAATACATAAGGGGGGATATGATCTCCATGTATAATACATAAGGGGGATATGATCTCCATGTATAATACATAAGGGGGGATATGATCTCCATGTATAATACATAAGGGGGGATATAATCTCCATGTATAATACATAAGGGGGATATGATCTCCATGTATAATACATAAGGGGGGATATGATCTCCATGTATAATACATAAGGGGGGATATGATCTCCATGTATAATACATAAGGGGGGATATGATCTCCATGTATAAATACATCAGTGGTTCATATAGTGAACTCGGTGTAGAGTTATTCACCCTGAGGTCATCACAGAGGACAAGGGGGCACTCTTTACATCTGGAGGACAAGAAATTTAATCTCCAAACACAGAAAGGGTTCTTCACAGTAAGAGCTGTGAAAACGTGGAATAGACTCCCTCAAGAGTTGGTTGTGGCCAGCTCAGTGGATTGCTTTATAAAAGTCCTGGATTCTTTCTTGGATACACAGAATATAACTGGATATAACATTTATAGGTAAAGTTGATCCAGGGAATATCCGATTGCCTCTCGGGGGATCAGGAAGGAATGTTTTCCCCATGCAGGAGCAAATTGGATCGTGCTTTGCTGGGTTTTTTTGCCTTCCTCTGGAACAACTGTGGGTATAGGATTATAACTTTTTTTTTTTTACCACGTGTTAAGCGTGCAGCAACAGGTTTATAATGTAGACAACCCCAATGACCAAGGGTTCATTGCAGAAGACAAACATTATTATAAATCTGTGCATCTTCAAGCTGATTGTATGTCACATTGGTAGTGCTGTGAGGTTATGTTGTAGAGGATTTAGCACATCGTTCAGATTTACATTGATGATGTTGTGGAATACAGTCAAGTCTTATAGTGGGAAAACAGGGAAGTTTATTGACACGCATGGGAAACTCTAGTTTTATTAGAGCGCACACTACATGTTTTGTAGCAGTGGTATTTACAATGTAGCAAAAAGTATGTCAACAGCTCACCAAGGATCTCCCAAGCGAGTCCAAATGTATTATATTATACACGTGCGCTAGGATGGAGGCACATATGCACAAGAGAGCGGCTGTAATCAAAGTGCTCTTGCACTCTACAAATCCAAACTAAATCTTTACAGCGCTGTGTGCTACAAATGAAGTGTAATGAATCACTATGTGGCCCTATACAAAATAAATAAACAATAAAAAAAAAAAAAGTTCTTTGAATACCCAATTCAAACAAGTGGTGGACAGTGCCACACATAAATAACAAGCACATAACTGACCTTTAGCCCTCATGCACACGGGACGTTTTTACAGCTGCTGTTTTTGGCTTTTGACTTTTTTCCTATAGCCAGTAAACCCCCCAGCATGTTCTCCTATGTGTCCATCCCCAGCATGTTATCCTGTGTGTCCATCCCCAGCATGTTCTCTTATGTGTCCATCCCCGGCATGTTATCCTATGTGTCCATCCCCAGCATGTTCTCCTATGTGTCCATCCCCGGCATGTTATCCTATGTGTCCATCCCCGGCATGTTATCCTATGTGTCCACCCCCGGCATGTTATCCTATGTGTCCATCCCCGGCATGTTATCCTGTGTGTCCACCCCCAGCATGTTCTCCTATGTGTCCATCCCCGGCATGTTATCCTATGTGTCCATCCCCGGCATGTTATCCTATGTGTCCATCCCCGGCATGTTATCCTGTGTGTCCATCCCCAGCATGTTCTCCTATGTGTCCATCTCCGGCATGTTATCCTAGGTGTCCATCCCCAGCATGTTCTCCTATGTGTCCATCCCCGGCATGTTATCCTGTGTGTCCATCCCCAGCATGTTCTCCTATGTGTCCATCCCCGGCATGTTATCCTATGTGTCCATCCCCGGCATGTTATCCTAGGTGTCCATCCCCAGCATGTTCTCCTATGTGTCCATCCCCGGCATGTTATCCTATGTGTCCATCCCCGGCATGTTATCCTAGGTGTCCATCCCCGGCATGTTCTCCTATGTGTCCATCCCCGGCATGTTATCCTATGTGTCCATCCCCGGCATGTTATCCTGTGTGTCCATCCCCAGCATGTTCTCCTATGTGTCCATCCCCGGCATGTTATCCTATGTGTCCATCCCCGGCATGTTATCCTATGTGTCCATCCCCGGCATGTTATCCTATGTGTCCATCCCCGGCATGTTATCCTATGTGTCCATCCCCGGCATGTTCTCCTATGTGTCCATCCCCGGCATGTTATCCTATGTGTCCATCCCCGGCATGTTCTCCTATGTGTCCATCCCCGGCATGTTATCCTATGTGTCCATCCCCGGCATGTTCTCCTATGTGTCCATCCCCGGCATGTTATCCTATGTGTCCATCCCCGGCATGTTATCCTATGTGTCCATCCCCGGCATGTTCTCCTATGTGTCCATCCCCGGCATGTTATCCTATGTGTCCATCCCCGGCATGTTATCCTATGTGTCCATCCCCGGCATGTTATCCTATGTGTCCATCCCCGGCATGTTCTCCTATGTGTCCATCCCCAGCATGTTTTCCTATGTGTCCATCCCCGTAATGTTCTCCTATGTGTCCATCCCCAGCATGTTCTCCTATGTGTCCATCCCCGGCATGTTCTCCTATGTGTCCATCCCCAGCATGTTATCCTACGTGTCCATCCCCAGCATGTTCTCCTACGTGTCCATCCCCAGCATGTTATCCTACGTGTCCATCCCCAGCATGTTATCCAACGTGTCCATCCCAGCATGTTCTCCTACGTGTCCATCCCCAGCATGTTATCCTATGTGTCCAACACAACCAGCATGTTATCCTATGTCTCCATTCCCGGCATGTTCTCCTATGTGTCCATCCCCGGCATGTTCTCCTATGTGTCCATCCCCAGCATGTTCTACTATGTGTCCATCCCCAGCATGTTATCCTATGTGTCCATCCCCAGCATGTTATCCTATGTGTCCATCCCCAGCATGTTATCCTATGTGTCCATCCCCAGCATGTTCTCCTATGTGTCCATCCCCAGCATGTTCTCCTATGTGTCCATCCTCAGCATGTTATCCTATGTGTCCATCCCCAGCATGTTATCCTAGGTGTCCATCCCCGGCTTGTTCTCCTATGTGTCCATCCCCGGCATGTTCTCTTATGTGTCCATCCCCGGCATGTTCTCCTATGTGTCCATCCCCGGCATGTTCTCCTATGTGTCCATCCCCAGCATGTTCTCCTATGTGTCCATCCCCAGCATGTTATCCTGTGTGTCCATCCCCAGCATGTTCTCCTATGTGTCCATCCCCAGCATGTTCTCCTATGTGTCTATCCCCAGCATGTTATCCTATGTGTCTATCCCCAGCATGTTATCCTATGTGTCCATCCGCAGCATGTTATCCTAGGTGTCCATCCCCAGCATGTTATCCTAGGTGTCCATCCCCAGCATGTTATCCTAGGTGTCCATCCCCAGCATGTTATCCTAGGTGTCCATCCCCAGCATGTTATCCTAGGTGTCCATCCCCAGCATGTTATCCTAGGTGTCCATCCCCGGCATGTTCTCCTATGTGTCCATCCCCAGCATGTTATCCTAGGTGTCCATCCCCAGCATGTTATCCTAGGTGTCCATCCCCAGCATGTTCTCCTTTGTGTCCATCCCCGGCATGTTCTCCTTTGTGTCCATCCCCGGCATGTTCTCCTATGTGTCCATCCCCGGCATGTTCTCCTATGTGTCCACCCCCAGCATGTTATCCTAGGTGTCCATCCCCAGCATGTTCTCCTATGTGTCCATCCCCGGCATGTTCTTCTATGTGTCCATCCCCAGCATGTTATCCTAGGTGTCCATGCACACATAGACTGGAATCAACGTTTTTTGGCTTGGATGTTTTTAGGCTGGAAAAAAAACCCAGAACTAGTGGGTTTCTAGAGGAGTTTTTTAGCTGTAAAAATGCTCTAACACTGAGAAACGAGGCAAAACGTGGTAAAATGCCGCAAACCAGCGTTTTTGGACTTTGTTTTACTTTTTTTGGTAAAAAAAAACTCAAAAAAATGCTAAACGCTAATGCAAAAACGCTAAAAAAAACCTTGAACAACTCACGTTTTTAACGTGACTTTACACAATGTTATCAAACGTCCAGTGTGCATGAGAGCATAGTGGGTGGTCATATTTATCTGATGAGTTCTTTGTGTTGGTGGTGGAGGAGCACTGGAAAGTTTCACAAGAACACAAAGTGATGTTTGTTGAAGATTGCACAGAAGCACGTTGAATTTTTGTGAATAGCTTTCACGCACTTTCTTATAAGAGCCACGCAGAGGCACAGAATATATAATTTGGTGGTCTTTTTTCTTTTTATTTTATTTAGATATTGTTTATGTATTTTGTATAGGGCCACATAATGATTCATTACACTTCATTTGTAGCACACAGCGCTGTAAAGATTTAGTTTGGAAAGCGGGTCCAAAGCTTTATTTGGTGATCAGATCATAGCTACAGAAGCAACGATTCAAATCCATGCAGGACCCCTTAATCACTTCCAGACCAGACACTTTTACCCCCTTCCTGACCAGGGCAATTTTCAGCTTTCAGCGCTATCACAATTTGAATGACAATTGCGCGGTCATGCAACACTGTACCCAAATGAATTTTTACCATTTTTTTGACACAAATAAAGCTTTATTTTGGTGGTATTTATTCACCGCTGGGATTTTTATTTTTTTTGCTATGTAAATGAAAAAGTCCAAACATTTTGAAAAAAAGTGTTTTTTTTATAACATTTTGCAAATAAATAATATTTCATCATAAATCTTTGCCAAAATTTATTCCGTTATCTTTTTAGTAAAAAAAAAAATCCAAATTAGTTTATAACCAAAAATTATAATTTTTAAACATTTTTTTTTACATTTTTATTTTATTTTTTTATTATTATTATTATTATTATTTTTTTTTTTACATACTGTCACCCTAGCAGTACAGTGTCACCATGGTGACACTGTACTACTTGTGGGGGGTGATGAGGATTTTTTTTTTTTTACACTGATTGCTTTTACACCCATATAGGATGTAAAAGCAATCATTTCTCTTTCTCTCTGTCTGCATTCTTGCACTCATTGAGAAGTACTGAGTGAGCTGTGATTGGTCACAGCTTGTCACATGGTACAAGGCTGTTGTGAATAGCCTTGTACCATGTGACCTTTGTGATCATTCACAGATTTCACACGTAGTAAGCAATGATGTCACAAGTGACATCTTGCTTACTGCTTTGCATGTGATCACTGATTGGCCAATCAGTGATCACATGATCGGGACCTCGTACAGAGGTCCCGTCCGATGATTGGTGTTTCACTGTGTCCGGAGGATACAGCGGGCACTGGATCGCGGTGCTGCGCGCTCCCAGGGAGCGCGCACAAGCAGGGTGCGGGAAAGCCGTTTATAAACGGCCACCCGACCCTGCACTGCCACCGTCCGGCCGTTTATATGCAACGGCCGGTCGGGAAGTGGTTAATCCAGCATGTCACATGCCCGATGAAGGGGTCCTGCGTGGCTCTAAAATTGCTTCTGTAACTATGATGTTGATCACTGAATAAAGCTTTGGACCCGCTTTGGAGATCCTTGGTGTGCTGGTGATATACGTTTTGCTTTGAATGTCTTTGATTCCCAGCCGGTGGTCGCTGCAACACCCACTTACACTCACAGCCATTTTTTAGGAACGCTTGCTTTGGTAATATTGTGTTGGAATTTACAATGTAGCAAATACATAATTGGTCAACAGTATTGGCAGACGTTAGGAAAGCTTAATCACATAACTGTGGTGAACAGATTGCCAATGATGAAAGGTCACCCTATATATAAAGAACGAGTCAGGTAGTGGAAAACCTTGGACATATGCTACCAGGTGGTCATGGCCAAAGTATTCACATATTCCCCAAGAGGTCTTCGAGACTTCTTGACACAGGAGCAGACCATACTTCACTTACTGGGAATAGTCAGTTGCTAGTTAGAGTTTATCTATACATCTTTATTTGATGGGTTCAATTCTTGGTCAGTAACTGAGTGCCTCTTGTTTTGAGGCTCCTGGAGTTTTCCAAAAGCTATTTAAAGCTACATACACACATCACTAAATGCCTGATTATCTGTCTCTGGCACTACTTTAATTTTAAAGATCAAAAATTGAAAATCTGTCAATTTCCCATACATGCAAAGAGTGTGGATATGGGAATCTTCACTGTCAGATTTTATATTGAGTAGCTGCTGCAACCGTGCCTGCCTGGATACAGCGGTGCTGCTGATTGTAGCTATTGAGGAAAGTATTTAGGATAAATTTTTTGTCCCTGGAGCAGGGGTGGACTGACAACTCATGGGGCCCCCGGGCAACAGGGGATCATGGGGCCACTGTGTCCTCGCCCCCACACTCAAACCACACCCAAAAAAGCCTATGAAAAGGTACCAGGGGCATCTCATGGGGCCCCCTACTGCCCTGGGCCCTCGGGCAGTGCCCGAGTTCCTAAATGGTCAGTCCGCCCCTGCCCTGGAATTCAGCTTTAAATATGCCATTGAATGTGTTTTATCATATCTGTTCAAAATAAAAGCAAAAAATACCCGTTGATCCTGACAGAAAATCAGAGTTGTCCCCTGTCCTGTTCACTCTGCCTGTGTTATCTCAAGGAATCTAATCAGTCCTCCCAGTTCTTCACTTAGACAACAGAACATCTCCCCTTATGTACTTCTTCTCCAAAGTGCAGCCTGGGGCCTGATTTGGCCATTTTCTTGCCTCTATCTGGCCATTGGGGCACTGTTCCTTCCGATGATACAAGGCACTGTTTGGTAACACCAATGTTGAGGCACCCTTCCTTCCACTGTGTCAGGAATGGATTCACCACTGGTGGTGGGACTCACCTGCCGTGTGGGCTGCAGTACCAGGGCTGGCCAGCGGGTGCTCTCAGCAACCAGAAGCTCACTCCTACGATCAGCCATCACCTGAGGCTGATTGCAGGAGGCATATTTTAGGAATGGCCGGACCTGCAGTCAGGGCCTTGGTGTATTGTTTCCCATGAGCCCCTGTACTTGGTATCCTGTGTTCCTGCCTATCTGCCTAGTTGCTGACCCTGCTTTGATCCTGACCTCTGCTGATCATCTCCTGTTTAACCCCTGGCTTGCCTGACCATCCTTCTGCCTGATCCTTTGTACCGCGCTGCCCATGAGTTACTGAACCCGGCTTGTGACCCGGACTATTCTCTGCCTGCTCCTCCGGTACCTCGCTGCCCGCACGTTGCTGACCTGGCCTGCCTGACTACGCCTGACGCTACCCAGACGATCCATCCATCCATCCCGCATGGATCTGTCCCTGTTACCAGGTCTGCCAGCCTCTTCACATCAGGCTCCTTTCCCCGCACACCTCTGACGACGCTCTTTACCATTGCCGGACATACTCAGGGGTCGCGACCTGGTCTCAGTCTGCTCCAAGTCCATCCCCACCATCAGGGGCCCTGGTGAATAAGCAGATTGGGACTTAGACCCCGCGCCCTGTACAGTACCTAACGGCCTGCCTGACCATTCCACCTCTCTAGCTCTGACTACGCCTGTGTTCCCACACATTTCTGGTCATACCCAGATCCCTAACACACTGACATCAATGATGGGGCACTATTCCTTCCACTGACAGCAACGATGGGGCGCTATCCTTCCCACACCAACTATAGGGCATCCACTAATACCAATGATGGTACGCTGTTTCTCCTCTTACTGGTCCTATGTAATCTTTTTACACCCACTGACCACCAAACCTGAGACATTTTCTACTCTCACTGGCCACAGACAGGCCTCCCTCCAGTTTGAAGGAATTCAAACAGGACCTTTTGCTTAGAAAGTTTGGAGACCTATGTTATAGAGATGAGAAGTTTCCAGCCATTTCCAGACATGTAACCATTGCCAAGGAGTTGGCCCTGTAGATTTTGCTAAAGGCTGTTTGGGGACTGATCTGTGGGACCAATCAGAGGCTCTGTCTGAAGCTCCTCCAGGTTTTTCCATTTCCATTTATGTGCTTCTCTAGCTCTTGCTGCTTAGGTTACCATTCAGGAAGTGGTTTCCATGATGTAAAGCAGATAATAAATTAATTAAATGTAACAGTTGTATATGTGATGTTCCTCCAGCAGATTGCTGCCTAGGCTTTGTCTTAGAGGACTGTACACTCTCACAGAAATCTGGGGCTCGTAAATCTAAAATGCTTAGTTGTCATATTGTTATCTGGACTGTTTCCTCTTTCTTTCAGATGGATCACAGGCCCCCGATGTGGCTTCCCCATTGCAGAACAATCCAGTTTTAATGAAGGTGAGGCAGAAAACATCACCAGTAGAGAGCCGGCGAAGCAGCCAAGTACAATGGCAATAGGAAAATAACTTCACCAAAGCCCAATGTCGCCAACCAAATTGTACAAACCATGCTTGCTGTAGAGTCAAATGAAATTGATAGTGTTTTGTGTGTCCTTGTTCACTTCCTCCTGTTACTAATCCATAATTTAATAGAAAGAGAGAAACAAAAATAAGCTAAGTGTTATTGTCAACATTTGTGAATACCTGACCGTCATACCTATAGGAGCTTGCTAGACATCCCATTACAATACCATGGGCATTAATATGGTGTCCATCCCTCTTTGTGCTTACGACAGTCTCCACTCTCCTGGGAAGGCTTTCTGCAAGATTTTAGAGGGAGTGTGTATGTAGGAATTTGTTCTTATTTAGCTAAAGTAGCATTTGTGAGGTCAGGTTCTGATGTTCGATGAGAAGATCTGGCTCACACTTGGTGTTCCATTTTAAACCAAATGGTGTTAGTAGGGTTAAGGTGAGGGCTCTGTGCAAGCCACTTGTGTTCCTTTACACCAAACTCATTAAACCAAGTCCTTATGGAGCTGGCTTTGTGCAAAGGAGCAGTCATGCTTGAGCTTTTTTGGCCATATCCTATGTGTATGATACGATAAATGTAAGGTTATCATTTAGGCCTGTCCCTGGAAAACAAATGTTCCTGACAGTGTCCCAGGAGGCAGTGAATGCAGGTCAATAAAATAGGGAAAGCCACTGCTCCAATGCTTTCTCTCTGCACCTCCACTGGGAACCTGAGGATAGAACATGCCACACACCAACCTCAACTCCTCAGTTTGGGGCTCTCGTAATATGGTGGATGGGGCTTTATGCTCAGCGCCATTGCTGGGGTGACATGTCACATGATGTAGAAGCAGTTTCTGAGCCCAGAGGCGTAATGTTGGATGGATGAAAATGGCGGCTCGGTGCTGGATTCTTTGCTTACTGTGGGGTCCTGGCTTGCCAATCACCAGCCACCACAATCAACTGGGCCCAAGAAAGCTTGGAGGAGGAGCAACACTAATACCATGTGACACACTGACATGTACTGACACACTGGATCCGAATAAACTATTGTTTTTAATGAATTAATTAATAATATAGTGCAGCACTAAATAAACCAACCTCATATCATACCTTATTTTTGAGTGGATATATATATATATTTTTGATATATATATATATATATATATATATATTTGAAATCTTGCATCTGAATTAGTTTGGTCACATTTTTGCACTGGTCACTTGAAGTGTGGTTTATTTATATATTTGTTTGAGGGGTTGATTTATATATTATATCACACATATTGACTGATTTATAAGGCACAGGTTCTGAAAATCCATCAGGACCTCAGGTCACACAGGATTTGAACACTTATATTGGAGCACATTGTAGCACTGTATTTATATAGTATTTTGCATCACTTTTTCAGTTTTATATGTTGATTATTTATATGATATGAGGTTGGTTTATTTAGCGCTGCACTATATTATTAATTAATACGTTTATTTCACTGATTGATGTTCAGTTTTGAGTGTGAGCTGCTTTATATTATATATTTTAGGTATACTCCATATAAGCGCAGGATTTTATATATTTTTATTGTTTTTAATGGCTGTTTTTTTGCTCTATATGCGATGCTCACATTACAAAACAGAGCAAACAATCTAGTGTGCCTTAGTTGAAGAGGATTTTCTACATGTGCATCAAAAGATAGAAAATCGCAACTCACAGTTTCTGATCCCTATAAATTATATACACTATATTACCAAAAGTATTGGGACACCCTTCCAAATCATTGGATTTAGGTGTTCCAATCACCGCCATGGCCACAGGTGTATATAATCAAGCACCTAGGCATGCAGATGAATAACAAAGTGTAGAACAACAAACTAATATCTCATAAAAATCAATAAAAAACAATAATTAAAGTCCCATGAAAAAGTCTGTTATAACAGCACTGTGCAATGTGTATAAAATACATCTTCTCTCTTCTTCAGTGCCAACCGTGCTACCACCATTACGTGAAAAACCTGCTCACCTCACTTTATGACCTCATCAATAACAGTATGCTATTACTGATAAAACAGAACTTGGTGTAAACTGTTTTATCAGTGATAGTTGGCATACTACGTTATGAAGTCATATTTTGAATGAATTGTCCTTTTATTATTAACATGCTTTTTACAATGTAATATATTGTCTGGTCATATGATAATACGGCATTCTGAAGAGTGAGTGTCGGTCATCAGAATAATATATATTTTTTATATAATATTTATATATCTCCTAGATTGTAAGCTGGAAAGAGCAGGGCCCTTGAACCCCTCGTGTTTTGTTTTGTTACTGTATTGTCTCATGTACTGTCCCCCACTATAATGTACAGCGCTGAGCAAACCTTTTAGCGCTATATAAATACTGTATAATAATAATAATATTTTTTTTTTTTTCATTTTTAATTTTTTAGTGTGTTCCCAGCTTTTAGGGATCAGGTTTTCCCCACTTCTGGGTTCGGAGGTGATCTTAGATGGCCGATGACATCACTTCTGGGTTCGGAGGTTATACAAGATGGCTGATGACATCACTTCCGGGTTTGGGGGTGATCCAAGTTGGCCGATGACATCACTTTCAGTAGCCAGGAGGTGATGTCACTTCTGGGGGTAGGAAGAAAGGATTCATGGTTTATTTAAGGGCTCCACATATGCTGGCTCCCTGCCTACTGAGGCAGCCCAAATCTGGAGCTTAATGCGTATAGGTGGAAGGAGCTGAGCCCTAGACATTTTTAATTGATGTCATCCTGGAGAGCGAGGTGGTGAGCCATGTAACGAAATATACATTATATAGTTACATAGTTAGTCTGGCTGAAAAAAGACAAAAGGCCATCTAGTTCAACCAAAAAAAAAAAAGTTACAATCCTATACCCCACAGTTGATCCAGCGGAAGAAAAAAAAACCCAGCAAAGCACGATTCAACTTGCTCCTGCAGGGAAAAAAATTCCTTCCTGTTCCCCCGAGAGGCAATTGGATATTCCCTGGATCAACTTTACCTATAAATGTTAATAACCAGTTATATTCTGTGTATCTAGGAAAGAATCCAGGACTTGTTTCTTACATCTTGTAAGTGTTTTTTAATCTGGGCGCTAATAAATTGTTTTATAAACAGAGAGCACTATGGTTCCACTTTTCTGTTTTCCATAATACATATTATATGAGAACGTCAGCTGGAGAAGTGTATACTGTGGCGGTGCCGGGAGAGGAGCTGGAGGAAGACCACAGAAAGTGTACACAAAGTGTGTCCATAGGTTTAGCGCATAATGACCTATTGATGAGGTCATAAAGTGAGGTGAGCAGGTTTTTCACCTAATGGTGGTAGCACGGTTGGCACTGAAGAAGAGAGAAGATTAATTTTATACACATTGCACAGTGCTGTTATAAGAGACTTTTTCATGGGACTTTAATTATTGATTTTTATATGAGATATTAGTTTGATGCGCTACACTTTATTGTTCATTTTGGTATAGGTGTTGTGAAGTCACTAACAGTGTTATAGCAGCAACTATTTAGAGCACTATCATATCATTTTAGGGTGTGTTGCGCTGATTGAATAGGGTTTTAGGCATGCAGACTGCTTCTACAAACATCTGTGAGAGAATGGGTTGTTCTCAGGAGCTCAGTGACTCCAAGCGTGGTCTCGTGATAGGTTGTCACCTGTGCAATAAGTCCATCCGTGACATTTCCTGGCTACTAAATATTCCACGCTCAGCTGTTAGTGGGATTATAACAAAGTGGAAGCAACTGGGAACAACAGCAACTCAGCCACCAAGTGGTAGGCCACGTAAAATGACAGAGCGGGGTCAGCGCATGCTGAAGCACACAGTGCGCAGAAGTCTCCAACTGTCTGCAGAGTCAATAGCTAAAGACCTCCAAACTTGGTGTGGCCCTCAGTTTAGCACAACAACAGTGGGTAGAGAGCTTCAGGGAATGGGTTTCCATGGTGGAGCAGCTGCATCCAAGCCTTACATCACCAAGTGCAATGCAAAGCATCAGATGCCGTGGTGTAAAGCACACCGCCACTGGACTCTAGAGCAGTAGAGACATGTTCTCTGGAGTGACAAATCACACTTCTTTGGCAATCCGATGGACGTGCCTGGGTTTGGCAGCTGCCAGGAGAACGGTACTTGATTGACTGAATTGGTGGAGGAGGAATTATGGTGTGGGGTTGTTTTGCAGGGGTTGGGCTTGGCCCCTTAGTTCCAGTGAAGGGAACTCTTATGGCGTCACCATACCAAGACATTTTGGACAATTTCATGCTCCCAACTTTGTGGGAAGAGTTTGGGGATGGCCCCTTCCTGTTCCAACATGACTGCGCACCAGTGTACAAAGCAAGGTCCATAAGGACATGGATGAACGAGTTTGGGGTGAGGAGGAACTTGACTGTCCTGCACAGAGTCCTGACCTCAACCCCATGGAACACCTCTGGGATAAATTAGAGCTGAGACTGTGACCCAGGCCTCCTCCCCCGACATCAGTGCCTGACCTCACAAATGTGCTTCTGGAAGAATGGTCAAACATTCTCATAGACACCCTCCTAACCCTTGTGGACGGCCTTCCCAGAAGAGTTGAAGCTGTTATAGCTGCAAAGGGCGGGGCCAACTCAATACTGAACCCTACAGACTAAGACTGGGATACTATTAAAGTTCATGTGCATGTGAAGGCAGGCATCCCAATACTTTTGGCAGTATAGTGTATGTGAGCAAATGCAAACTCCATGCAGATAATATCCTGAGTGAGATTCAAACCAAGGACTCTAGTTTTGACAGGCACAAGCACTAACCACCAAGTCACTGTGCTGACACGTTGTAGCCTTTGCTTTTTGCTAAATAAAGAGTAAAATTCTAAGAGTGCTCCTGGGATCTGTCTTCACTTGAATATCTGGATAATATTTATTGCAAAAGAGCATCCAGACCCATAGCTGTGAATCTGTTCAAAAGGATAAGTAATGGGATCTCTTGGGGCAACCTCATTGGATGCATAGATGCCTGTCTGCAGTCTCCTTCATTTCACCTGTGAGTGCCACACACGTTTTTTGTGTTTTGTTAAGGTTTCATTAAAATCATTAAAATTTTAGTGCCTGAAACTTTCTTGATTTTATCCTCCTGTAATGTTCTGTATAGCTGAAAGACTGCAACGAGGAGGGCCACCAAAAAACAACCAAATGAAATAGACAGCAGAATGAGCACAATGATGACCTTCAATATGTACTGTTGGTCTTTCACTGTCTAATCAGCATGTTGGGGTGGTGGGGTGGGGGGTACATTAAGGAGAGTGTCCAGACCACACAGTTGGCTATGCAAAATTTCAATCCTCTTAGCAGGTAAACCAGTTCATATACTGTATGTATTTTACTTCTTACTTGGCGTTCCACTTTAAAATGAACCTGTACCTAATGCAACATATTTAAATTGGTCACAACCCTCAGTAGCAGAGGAGCAGCACGTCCCTCTGTTTAAAATGAAAAACATACTAGGAACAGCATACCCCATGGAGCTCATCTGAGCAAATATAGATTTCAATTCTAAATCTATAAGTCCTTGAAACCCCCCACAGTCTTGGTGACCATTAAGGAGTGGTGAGTGGTGGTAGAGGCCAACCTGAGCGTAACGGCCAAGTCACACTTAAGATTAAGTTGGTGGTGATAACTCACCAGTGGATACGTCGCTAAGAGACTGCTTACCTTTTCCAATGGAGTGGCTCTCTTACTGGTCAACTAGAATGAAATCGATTAACCACTGCTCCTTCACTAACAAGCTAGATTCTGCGTCATGGCGACCAGTACAGGTCCATTGGTCATTAGGGAGGATATTGGTTGCAAATGAGTTTAGTGAGAATGGCCAATGTGACATGGCTCTCAACAAATGTATGGCTCAACATAGGAGGGGAAATTCTAAAGGCAAATCTCAGCAGTCTTCCTACACCTTAAGGAGGAGTGACATTGGTTTAAGGACATTAAGGTATACATTTTGGACAGGGAGGAGAAGTGATTTCCATGAGGCATGAAAAAGGCCACTACATTTTGTTGGGAGCTATGTCACAATGGCGATTTCAACCAGAATTACTGAATTCAACTACTGAACAGGGGAGGGGTCTCTCAAAACTATCTTCCACAAATAAAGCCATTTTAACATCTCTAGCCTGGCAATTTGGTAAATCGAGGAATCAACGCCTATGCAAGAGGTTTCTGACACCAACAATTGAATTATGTAACTAGAACATGGGGGTTCCACAAGTTTCATATCTCCCATCCTGCTCTTGGCCAATCAACATCTATACATTCCATGGTTATTGGATTAAGGAATATATGTTGGGGTATCCTACTGACACTCAATGGAAGTGGCTTGGTAAGCTACAAAATGTCTTCAACATCACAGAACCAAGTCCAGCTGACTGTATCTAACTACTCTTTGTTACTGTTATCATAAAGGAGTATACTCGCTTAATTTTTTTTACATAAAATCATGTAGATATATAGGGTGGGCATTGTGTCTACCCTGGCGATTTGACAATTCACATATTAGGCCATGTAAATCAAGGAACCAACACCTCTGCAGGATTCCTGACAACAGCAATCGAGTTAATGTACAGTTGTGTTCAAAATAATAGCAGTCAGACATCACTAACCGGATCAATCACTGTTTTTGGTAGAAATGATATTACTACATGGTAAATAATTTACTAGCAGGTGTAGCAGAGTAATATAAATCCAACAGACCCAACAGTCATGACATGCATGCTGCTGATTCTTTGTCATTGAATCACTCATTGAAAGGGGCATGTTCAAAATAATATCAGTGTGGAGTTCTATTAGTGAGGTCATTCATTCTTTGAAAAACAGGCGGCAATTATTGCCCTTATTTAAGGAAGGAAGGCAGAAAATGTTGTACATGCTGGTTACAGTGCATTTCTCTCTGAAATTCTGAGGAAAATGGGCCGTTCCAGACATTGTTCAGAAGAACAGCGTACCTTGATTAAAAAGTTGATTGGAGAGGGGAAAACATATAAATAAGTGCAGAAAATGATCGGCTGCTCAGCTAAAATGATTGCAAATGCTTTAAAATGGCAACCAAAACCTAAAAGACGTGGAAGAAAGCGAAAAACTACCATTCGAATGGATAGAAGAATAGCCAAAATGGCGCGGACTCAGCCAACAATCAGCTCCAGGAAGATGAAAGAAGGTGTAAAGTTCCCTGTGAGGACTGTTACAATTAGAAGACGCCTATGTGAAGCCAAGCTATCTGCAAGAAGCCCCCGCAAAGTCCCACTGTTGGAAAAAAGACGTGCTGAAGAGGTTACAATTTGCCAAAGAGCACATTGACTGGCCTAAAGAGAAATGGCGCAACATTTTGTGGATTGATGAAAGTAAGATTGTTCTCTTTTTGGGTCTAGTTGCCGGAGACAGTTTGTCGGACGACCCCCAAACACTGAATTCAAGCCACAGTACACTGTGAAGACCGTGAAGCATGGTGGTGCAAGCATCATGATATGGGGATGTTTCTCATACTACGGTGTTGGGCCTATTTATCGCATACCAGGGATCATGGATCAGTTTGAATACATCAGAATACTTGAAGAGGTCATGCTGCCTTATGCTGAAGAGGAAATGCCCTTGAAATGGGTGTTCCAACAAGACAACGACCCCAAACACACCAGTAAACGTGCAACATCTTGGTTCCAGACCAACAAGATTGACGTTATGGAGTGGCCAGCCCAATCCCCGGATCTTAATCCAATAGAAAACTTGTGGGGTGACATCAAAAATGCCGTTTCTGAGGCAAAACCAAGAAATAGAGAAGAACTGTGGAATGTCGTCCAATCATCCTGGGCTGGAATACCTGATCACAGGGGCCAGAAGTTGGGTGACTCCATGCAACACAGATGTACAGCAGTTCTCAGAAACAGTGCGACTACAACCAAATATTCATGAAGTCATTCAAAGGAAAGCAAAATCTTCAAAATTTTTCAGTTTATATAGTGAATGTTTGAGTTTGTAAAGAAGAATACAAACACTGCGATTTTTTTGAACCGTCTAATATTCACTTTTCTTAAATTTCTTTAGAGGAACAACACAAATTTGATCTATTTTTCTTCATGTTTTGATTTGGAATAGAATGTGTCGTGTTCCCAATGCATTTGTGTGGATGAAAATAAAAGCTATTAGAAGGAATTTGAGCTTTATTCACTTTTTTCAACACACTGCTATTATTTTGAACACAACTGTATGTAACTAGAATAGGGGAGTTCTACTACTTTCACACCTCTCATCTTGTTCTTTACAATCAACATTCCATGGTAATTGGATTGAGGTGTTTCAAGATGGGAACATATGCAGGGGTATCCTCCTGGCACTTAGTGGAAGAGGCTGGGAGGGCTATGAAATGTCTTCAAATTTACAGAACCAAGTCAAGTTGAATGTGCCTAATTACTCTTAGTGACTGTTTTCATAAAGGAGTATACCAGCTCAATTTTGCCAATTCACATATTTAGTCACGTAAATTGAGGAACCAGCACCTATGTAGGATTCTCTAGACCAACAATGGGATTATGTAACTAGAACTGGGAGCTTCAATGCCTTTCACACCTCCCATCCTAGTTTTGGGCAATAAACATGTACACATCCATGGTGGTTGGTTTATGGTGGGAATATAAATGCTGGGGTATCTTTCTGACACTCACCGGAAGTGACCTGGTAAGCTACCAAATGTCTTCAACATTACAGGACCAAGTCAAGTTGAATGTGACTAACTACTCTTAGTTACTATTTTTAAAAAGAAGTATACTGGCCTATTTTTTTCACATAAAAACACGCAGATGTACAGGATGGGCATTCTGTCTACCATGGTGATTTAATATGAGGA